TTCTTTTTTTATGTCTGTGCCAACAGTCTCCCACCTCTCCCCCAACCCTGGGCTGGCCCAGGCCTCCCTGCTACTGCCCAGTGGACTCTGAGCACATGCAGCTGACCCTACTTGTTCTTACTTCCTCTTCCTGTGCCCCCTCCCACCCATTCTCCCTAGTCATCCCTGATCTGGGGTTTTAGATGCTAAGAAATGCATCCAGCCCCAGCCTCATCAATGCAGCCACACTCAAGCCTGACGTCCCATGGGCCCCTTCAGACCCAACGTGACTCCACATAAGCCCACCCTGTCTTGCACCTGCTTCTGCTGGCCCCATCAAGCCCCTTCCCCCAGGCCCAAAGACCGGACCCTCGATGTTCCCTGGCCCCACAGCATGTGCCCAGCCTCTCCCTGGGATAGGTCTCTGTCATCTTCAGCATCTAACCCTGAGCCGCCATCTCAGCCTCCCCTGCATCCACCCCCCCCCCCCATCTTCTGGTCAGAGGCTTGGAGTGCCAAGTTGGTCGTGCCGGTCTCGCCTCGAGCCAAGCCCCCTCAGTGTGGCCCCCACCTGTGTCACCAGCCTCCTCCCCCACGGTGAGACTGGACTAAGCAGGAACTACAGTCAGAAGCAGCTCTCAGCCTCAGGGGCTGCCAACGCAGCTGCCTGGCATGACAGGTGAGAGCTTGTTGATCGGACCAGAGAGGCAACAGGAAGGGGTGAGGCTCGCGGAGAACTGGCGACCACACGCGTGTCATGTCAGCAAGTTCCACCCGCCAACCTCGGGCCCTCCTCCAGACCCTGGGTCCCTACCCACGTGCTCTGTGTCACACCCTCAGACGCCAACCTCCATCCTCCCACCTCCTCTCCTTGCCCGCTTCCTCAGGGCCACCTGCTCTTCCTCCTGTTTTTCCTTGAGACCCTGGCCTGCTGGGCCTCCGTGTCCTCTTAATGTGCGGATGACAAGAGTGGGGGACCACGTGTATTTTTTGAGTGTTTTTTTTTAATGAGGAAAAAAAAAAGAGTTCTATTTGTTTGAAAGGCAGAATTAAAGAGATCTTCCATCTGTTGGTTCAGTCCCCAAGTGACTGCAACAGCCAGAGCTGAGTCAGCCCAAAGCCGGGAGCCAGAACTTGAGCCGGAACTCAAACCGGCACCGATATGGGATGCTGGTGGCAGGTGGCAGCTTAACTTGCTGTGCAACAATGACACACATTTCCAGCACGCAGTACAGTGGACTGTAATCTGGTGGTTCGGACCGAGCGGGCTCCAACCCTGTCCCTGTGTCCGTCACACACCTGTCACCACATACTCATTTAATCTTCCCCATTACTGGTGATACCACTGTCCTGTCACAGACAGGGACCAGAAAGGTCCACGACTTACCCAGGGCCGCACAGGAGAACCCAAGTCCATGCTTTGACCTGCTGCTCTGTCTGCTGCCTGCGCATGAATACAGTGGCGGTGGGCACCACGTTAAAGCCGACCTAAGCACCTGCTCACTCTGGGCGGGGGGAGGAGGAGCTGAAATTCACCACACCCACAGTGATGCCCCAGTGCTTGCCAGCTCGTGGCTGGTCCTGGCCCTGGCCCAACTGGGCAAGAGCGCATGCCCAGCCACTCACGCCCCCTGCACCCAGCCAAGGTGTCATGCAGGAAGCTGTGTGCTGACCTGTCTTGGGATGGAGCAGAGTCTCTCCTTTCACCGGTTTAATAGTCAGCCTGGATGCTCACTAAAATTCTGCAGAGTAGTTGCTGAAACAACAGAACCGGGGGCTGGCACTGTGGTGCAGCATGCTAAGGTGCCGCCTGCCGTGTTGGCATCCCATATGGGCACCAGTTCCAGTCTTGGCTGCGCTCCACTTCCAAGGCAGCTCCCTGCTCATGTGCCTGGCAAAGCAGTGGAGGGTGGCACAAGTGCTTAGGCCTCTGAAGTCCACGTGGCAGGCCCAATGGAGCTCCTGGCCTTGTCCTGGCATAGCCCTGACCACTGCAGCCATTTGGGGAGTGAAGCAGCAGATGGAAGCTCTCGCTCACTCTCTCTCTCTCTCTCGCTCTCTCTGTAACTCTTGCCTTTCAGATAAGTCTTTATAAAAAATGCTGGTGGGCCCGGCGCGGTGGCGCAAGTGGTTAAGTCCTCGCCTAGCACGCCCGGGATCCCATATGGGCGCCGGTTCTAATCCCGGCAGCCCCGCTTCCCTTCCAGCTCCCTGCTTGTGGCCTGGGAAAGCAGTCGAGGACGGCCCAAAAAGCTTTGGGAACCTGCACCCGCGTGGGAGACCCGGAAGAGGCTCCTGGCTTCGGATCGGCATAGTATCGGCCCGTTGCGCTCACTTGGGGAGTGAATCATCGGATGGAAGATCTTCCTCTCTGTCTCTCCTCTCTGTATATCTGCCTTTCCAATGAAAAAATAATAAAAAAAAATAAATCTAAAAAAAAAAAAATAAAAAATGCTGGTGACAGAGGCAGCTGGGCTCATCTGCAGCCAGTCATTGCATCCGATTGCCTGGGAGCTGAACTTTTATATATATCTCAAGTTCTCAGTGAGATAACCAATCCACAAAAATGAATCCCAGGGTTCAGGTCAAGTCAGCAGCCACTGCTGCCTCCCCCGCTACCATGCTCACCCCAGCCCAGGGGAGCAGGCCGCCTCTCCCAACCCCACCACACCCCAGGCTCAGCCTTGGGACGCTGTGCTCCTCCCGGGAACACAGGAAGCCCAGAGATGGGGTGGGGGGGGGGGGCTGTGCCACTCAAGGATCCGTGCCTGCGACTGTGCTTGCAGGAAGGCGATGCCCTGGGCGCCATGGAGAAGCTGTGCCGGCAGCTGACCTACCACCTCAGCCCACACTCCCAGTGGAGGCGGCACCACCGGGGGCTGAAGAGGAAACCACAAGCCTGGTGAGTGGGGGCTGGACTGCGGGAGGGGGAGGAGGAGAGGGGAGCAATGCCCGTCAGCCACCGGCGGCAGGCCAAGGTCACCCAGCCGGGGGGTTGGGGGGCTCCCCTGAAGGCCACGTCAGCTTGTGAACCAGCTTGCTGTCGTGAACGACCTTGGCAGTGGCCGCCAGCACTTCTGTTGAACGGATGTCCGCTGCTGCGTTTCCAGCGCTGTGCAGCCTGGGCTCAAGCCCCGAGCCAGAGAGAGTAGCCCCCCGCAGGTGCTGGGGTGGCATCAAGGGTGAGACCCACACTCGGCTTCCAGGAGGCAGCCCTCCGCTCCCCTCCCGCCCGAGCGTCCAGTTGCTGGGAAATTTGGGCTTGGAGAGGGACTCGGAGATTCCTTGAAGGAGGTAGGGAAGGACAGTTCAGCTCAAAAGCTCAACAAAGCAACTCAGCCCAAGGAAATAGCTGACCAAATACCAAGGAGTGTGGCACTGGCAAACCCACAGGGGCCCAGGTTCAAGTCCCAGCTGCTCCAGTTTCGATCCAGCTCCCTGCTTATGGCCTGGGAAAGCGACAGAGGATGGCTCAAGTCCTTGGACCCCTGTACCCACATGGGAGACGCAGAAGCAGCTTCTGGCTGCTGGCTTTGACCCTATATATCCCACCCCTGTGTTTCAGAATTCCATCTGTAGGTTTTTACAGAAATGATCCCTCAGGTCAAGGTGTGAACTTGGGGAGAGGACGAGTCTACCTCCACTCCCTGCAGCTTCTTGTTCTCTTCCCCTCCAACCCCCTCTTAGCCTCAAAGCCGTCCTGGCCGGGAGCCCCACAGACAGCACAGTGGACCTGTCGGGCATCCCACTGAGCCCCCGTGACCTGGAGCGGGTGACCAGCTACCTGCAGCGCTGCGGGGAGCAGGTGGACAGCGTGGAGCTGGGCTTCACCGGCCTCACGGACGACATGGTCCTGCAGCTGCTGCCTGCACTCAGCACCCTGCCCCGCCTCACCACGCTGGCGCTCAACGGCAACCGGCTCACCCGGGCCCTGCTGCGGGACCTCACCGACGCCCTCAAGGACCCCAGCAAGTTCCCCAGCGTCACGTGGATTGACCTGGGCAACAACGTGGACATCTTCTCCCTGCCCCAGCCCTTCCTGCTCAGCCTCCGCAAGCGCTCCCCTAAGCAGGGCCACCTGCCCACCATCCTGGAACTGGGTGAGGGCCCAGGTGCTGGGGAGGAGGTCCGGGAGGAGGCAGTGGGCCAGGAAGATCCCGGAGGGGAGCCTGCGACCCCAGCCAAAGAGGGCGGTGAGGACGTGGCTCAGACATGAGCCTGCACAGGGGGTCGTGCCACAGTCCCTGTGGGGGCCGGGGCCAGGAAAGGCAGCCTGTAGCATCTGGGCCAGGGAAAGTCGTGATGGGCAACCTTGGCTCTGCCTTGCGGCTTCTTAGGGTATCATGCCCAGAAGGTTCCAGAAGCCCTTTGGCCCAGCCTCTGCCCCACTCCCACACCACACCCAGACTCTGCAAGCCCTTGGGCAGCAAAGGGTGGCCAGATGCCAACTGGGAGCCCTCGGTTTCTAGGAAGAGCCTGCACACAGCCCTTCACCACACCTCCCATGGCCAGTCCTAGTGCAGTAAGGCACCTTGGAAACACATGGCATAGACAAGCCCCAGGACACATAGTAGGTCCTCAGGCCTCAGCCCTTTCTCCCGGGATTCCCTGAGAGTCCTTGCCCAGGCAGGCACTGACACCCAGGACCAGAGCCCAGGCTGGTGTTTAGGTGCAGCTCAAACCCACACCAGCCACAGGTGGCTCTCGCACTGCAGGAAGGAGTGGGAGGAGCACAGTAACCACCACCTGATGTAGCAGCAGTCCAGGACGGGACAGGGCGTAGCAGCCTTAAATGCCTTGGCAATTTTGCCCTCCAATAAGAGGAGGAGAACAGCTTGGACTGACCACAAGTTTACATGCTAACTGGACTGTTACCACCTGATAGCAGTAATCAGATGTTTTTTCCTTCAAATACACATTTTTAAGAACTGACACCAAAGACCACCCTTTATTATGGTACTAGTTAATAGTAATGAACTGTACAAAACATTTTCAGGAAAAAAAATATAACCACAGCCAACTGATGAGAGTGCATTTATTAAAAGGTACAGGGAACACTCCAGTTGGGGAGTTTATGAAGGTGCCTTAAAGGGGTCAGGTACACCTGCTGGCTGGCACACCAGTGGCTGAACAGGCTCCAGTGCCGCGTGCCCAAATCGCCAGGTCTTCGGCATCTCTCGTCCTTGGCACATCCTGCAAAGAAGCTGCATTTCAATCTCACCTCCTGCCGCCAGCAGCAGTCTCTCAGAGCCTGACCGATACCTTCAGAAAACCATAGGCTCACCACCATACAATCTGCCGGTAATTCCAGCTATTTTTGGCGATTTCATCATGGGATATCCTTGGTCTGAACCACCAGTGCCTCCCTCTACCACCAGGGGCACGGTCCACACTGACCTTGTGAGCAGTCACAGCTCCACACTCCGGGAGGACTCCAGGACTCAGGGCCTGGAAGGACCAACACCTAGAACGCAAGAGATCCGTGTCAAGGACAACCAACGCAAAACAGAGCCACCTGTCCACGCTGCCCCAGCACAGTGCCCGCTCAGAGCACTTAAGGCGGGAGGCTGACAGCAGAGAAGCCGGTGGGCATTCCAAACCTTTGTGACCACTCACCTCCGGAGGTCACCACTGCTGCAGGTCCTGGCCATCAGCAGCCCGCGGTTCTTGCAACCTGAGTGAACACCGATGAATCAGAGGGTGCGGGCCAGGGGCCAGTCACACCTCCTGGCCAGGGCCACCGAGGCCTCGACCGCAGTCAGCTGGGACAGTTCTCGTCAGTTCTCGCTTCTGACGGCACTTCCTATGGAGTGATCTCATCACGGCAGTCCAGGCCCCGATCCTTGCGCAAGCTTAGCCCAGCCGAGCACCCCCCAGCGACGCACACACCGATCCCATGCCCACGCGGGTGCGGGGACCCCTGCACTTGGGCCACGGGCAGGAAGCTGGCTGGCAGGCCAAGTAGCCTGGGCTCTAGCCGGTGCTGCAGGCAGATTTTTAGCACGAAGGGCCCTGCGCAGGTCCCCCAAGTTCCACATTAAGGAGGACCCTGCGCAGGTCAAGCTTGCAGCCCACCCTTCGAGCTCCGCTTTGGCCCCTGCACCCACGTGGGAGACCCGGGAGCAGCCCCCCAGCCCCTCCTTTTTCTTCTCTGGCTTCCACTTCAGTGATACACATCACCCACCCACACGAGGGCTCACCTCACTCATGGCGGCTGCTACACCCGTCTCCAGTTCTCCTCCGCAAACCTGAAAAGCGGGGCAGAGGTGCGCCTTGAGGGCCGGCCCTGAGCGTCCCTCGGTCTGTCCGCGGAAGCCCAAGGCTTCGGCCACCGCGCTCAGACACGCGTCACCAGCCTCGTCAGTTCTCGTTCTGACGGCACTTCCTATTCGCTCCCTGTGTCATCAGAGCAAAGGGCCGAGCTCGGGTCCCTCGCCTCCCTCCTCCGGGGCACCCCGAGCCGCGAGGCCGATCCCCAACCCACCCGGGCTCCAGGCTCCACGGCCGCGGGGCCGATCCCCCAGCCCACCCGGGCTCCAGGCTCCACGGCCGCGGCTCAGCTGGCCCCAGCCCACCCGGGCTCCAGGCTCCACGGCCGCGGGGTCGATCCCCCAGCCCACCCGGGGTCCAGGCTCCACGGCCGCGGGGTCGGTCCCCAACCCACCCGATCCCCCAGCCCACCCGGGGTCCAGGCTCCACGGCCGCGGGGCCGATCCCCCAGCCCACCCGGGCTCCAGGCTCCACGGCCGCGGGGTCGGTCCCCAACCCACCCGGGCTCCAGGCTCCACGGCCGCGGGGTCGGTCCCCAACCTACCCGGGCTCCAGGCTCCACGGCCGCGGCTCAGCCGGCCCCACGGACACGCGGGGACGTCCCGGCAGCTGCCCTGCGCCCGCAAGCCCTGCCTCCTGCATGCATCTTCACTAACGCCCCGCAGAGCCGGCTTCACCACGCGTGTCCAGCGGCCTGCACGCACGCCGCAAAGGCCGTCCCGCCCGCGCCGCGCACCTTTCAGGCACCGGAACGTCCCATCCGTCACTGAACGGAGGGTAGGACTCGCAAAGACTCTCGGGAACCCGGCCCGTGTAACCATTCACCGCGCGGCGTCACCGAGGGACTCCTCCCCCCGCGGTATTCGGCTTGTGGTCTCTTCCACGCCCCGAGGAATTCTGGGTAGCGGGGAGTTGCAGTGCGCTTGCGCGCGAAGGGCCAGAGCGGGCCGACCGGAGAGGCGAGTCTAGTCCGTGGGTTCGGGTCCCGCCTCCGCCGCACTCCAGCTGCGGCCGGTTAGAACAAAGGACCGGACTCGCAGCCTCTGTGAGGCGATGGTTTCCCTCAGTGTGTTCAGTCCGCTGCTCTCTCCCGACAACCGAGCCTGGCGAGCGATCTGATGGCCTTCACCTGACCACTGGCCTCCGCCCCTTTTCTCCCCTGACTGCCCGGGGACTCCCTCAGCCAGGCCCCTAGCTCAGCTGCACCCCGAGACCTTGTCCCTACTCCCACCCCCCTAGCTGATGCTCTCCTGCTTCCGTTGGGTACCGAAGGGAGTGAGCAAGTCCTGAAAAACCATCGTTAGGACAAGCCCCAGAACGAAGGGCAGAATGTTCGTGAAGGGGTCAGAGGTCTCGGGCTGCTCTTTGGGGAGAGTGCCAAGGAGTCTGGAGAGGGGGGCAAGGTGACCTGGAAGCCCGGTGGGCACCTCCTCCCACACCGGATTTGAGACAAGCAGCAGGTGGTTTTAACATGGGACATGGGGGACACAGCCCTGTTGGTGGCACCTCAGCCAGCAGCGGACACCTGAGGAAGGGAGCCGCTCTGGGGACAGGAGGCAGGGGGACAGCAGCTCTGGGGGGTGGGCATCTCTGGGGATCCAGGTGAGGTGGGAGCATCCGCACCCCTGACACACAACAACCCAGCAACCTGGCCCAAATAAAGTTTCCAGGAGAGTTACTTGTGAAAATAATATTTCTATTTGCTACCAAGATTCCCTGTGGAGTGCATGGAGGGGGGCAGCAGGGTGGTCAGTATTCCAGAAGGTTCGGGTCCTGCCGGCCTCCTCTGCCGTGAGCCATCAGCAGGACTGCAGCAGCTGGAGGGGCAGTTGGTCTTCCCCCAGGGCGCTGTCTTCTTGTTGGGAGGCCCGAGAGCGGTTCTTGGAGTCGCCTGTGGATGAGCAAGGTGGCTTTTTAAGAAGTAGAGGAGGGATGCAAAGACAGGGGAGGGAAAAAACCTATAGAAGGCCCAGGGCCAGGGACCTGAGAGCCAGGAGCCACCCTACAGCAAGGGGTCACAGGGACTCCTTTGGGGTGGAGTGACGTAGGGCAGGAAACAGAGCCAACAGAAGACGGGTGGGGAAGGGGAGGGATGGGCTTTCCAGAAAGAAAGGGGCTGCGGGGGGAGTGAGCCGATCCTCCAAATGGGACCCCAAGGTGGGAGGGTGGCAGCCAGGCGGGAGATGAGGGGCCCTCAGAGCCGTGAGAGGCCTGGGTCGTAGATCTACCTGAAGGCTACGGGCACAACAGGTGTCCACGTTTGAGGGATCAGCCAGGCTGGCCTGAGGACCCAGGAAGATGGCACCTGGGCTGGGGGCTGGGTCCCCGGGTGGAGATAGGGGCTTCGGGGAGGGATACAGGCTCTCAGTACCCAGCTGAATGGGCTGAGGGTTCGCCTGCCTGACCAGAACAGGACAGGAGCAAGGGACAGGAAAGGAAAGAAGCAGGAAGTGACTTGGGGGTGATGCCTGGAAGAGGAGCTGACCGCAGCCACCACGGCTACTCACCAGGCACGGCTGCCCCCGACGGCTCCTCACACAGGGTCCTCGGCAGCGTCTGCTCCCACGTCGCCCAGTTCACTTCATCCACCCTACGGACCACAGAGCAACCCTAAGACTTCGGGGAGCCGCCCCCCACCTGCTTTGGTCCAGGATGAAGGACGCAGCCTCCCAAGCAGCAGGCAGTGCCAGTGACACCATGCCCACAGAGGCAGGATGCCTGGTTCCTCTGTGGGGCACCTGGATACCTGCTGTCCCACCTGGAGCCCAGACTGTGGCCCCCAGAAAGGCACCTGCCCAGAACAGAGGACTCCCATCCCTTCTGATGTGCCATGTCTATGCCACACCATGTGCCTAAGACTCCCTGTGTCTGGCTCAAGTGCTACCTCCTCTCCTTTGCCAAGCCCAGCTGTCCCTGGCATGGAAGGGGTTAGAGCACTGAGGTCAGGCCGAGGGAACAGCTGGGGGTGGGAGTGGGATGCTAGCAACCTGCTTGGCCAGAGGGAGGGGTCAGGGACCACCAGGGAGGAGACCTTTAGAGTACGCCAACAGAACAGGCGGTGACAGCATCCTGGGCCTCAACTGCCCAGGGCAGTTTCTTTCCCTCTACCCTAGCCCCTAGCAGAGTCAGGCCAGCAACACGTCCAGCCGCCCTCCCCGCCCACCTGACTGACCTGAAGCACCAGCGCTCATCGGGGCTACCATCCGGCTTGGTGCCCACCGTCAGCAGCACGCCTGCCCGTTGCCTCTTCCTCCTGCACCACCAGTAGCCTTTCTCCATCTCCAGGACAGAGATGGCTTTCTGGGGACAAAGGACACATCAGAGGGGGCGGGGGTGTCTGGGCCCCCACCCAGGGGTAGACATACACAGGAAGAGGCACCACAGCATCTGATAGCGTCACCCCAAGTCTGCACAGCACGTGCCTTTGAATCTGGCTCCAGGATCTCAGTTTGCTGAGCCTGTCTCCCCACCGGGAGACTTGAGGGTTAGTTACCTCAGCAGGTGACAGGCACTTGACCTGACTTCCTGTTATCCCGACACAGACTCCAGAATCCCACAACACCAGTAACAGAACTGTCTGCCCCACCACGCGTCAGTGCCTACCCATCTGCACACAAGTGAGTCAGGTGAGGTCCAGCACTTAGCAGATGGTCAGAGAAGATAAGGGACTGGGCCCCCCGGGTCAGCAATGAATCAGCAACCATGTCCAGCCTCCCGCAGGCAAGGCTTAGCCCTTCACCGACTGCCCTGGATCTACCCAACCCTGCTCTGGTCAGGCAGCAGCATGGGGGACGTGGGTGAGGGGAATGGACTATGCTGTGGGGCAGTGGCTTAATGCAGTGGATGCCACACTAGCATCCACTGGTTCGAGTCCCGATGGCTCTGCTTGCAACTCAGCTTCCTGCCAAAGTGCCCAGGAAGGCAGAAGAAATGGCCCTAGGGCTTGGGTCCCCGCATTCACATCAGAAACCAAGATGGAGATCCAGCCTCCTGACTTCAGCCTGGCCCAGCACTGGCAGTTGTAGCCATTTAGGGAAATGAAATCAGCAGATGTGATTTCTCTCTCCTCTCTCTTCTCTCTCTCCTCTCTCACCTCTCTAGCCACTGTGCCTTTCAAATAAATAACATGCATCTTAAAAAAGAGAGAGATGTTTGCACTCCTCAAGGGCTGGCATGAGCACTCTGCTGCCACGGAAGGCTTTCCCCTCTCTCCCCACAGGCCCCACAAAGGAAGGAGTGCAGGAAGGAGCCTAGGGGTGGGCTGCTGAGTCGGGCCCCAATCCCACTGGGTGCAGGAACCCCAGGCAGCACCTGCTTCCGTGAGCCCAGCCTCACAGGTCCTGAACACACACCTAATTGGGCCCCAAGACTCAGGACAGGATGAGGGCAGGGAGTCCCGCAAGGTGGCACCTGTAACTTCCAGATGCTACGGCTGTCGGTGGCGACGCTGTTGACGGTCTCACTCATGAGGGCAATGAGCATGTTGAGCAGCAGCACGTAGGTGAGCAGCACGTAGGCCAGCAGCAGCAGCAGCACCACTCCCCGGAAGCGCAGCTGCTCCTGGAAGGCCAACTCGCCCATGCCTATGGTGAACTTGAAGAGCTCCAAGGACGCGTCCAGGATGCCTCGGTAAGGCATAGCCTCATCCTCCTGTCCCACCCCAGGCTGGGCCACCTCTGTGGCATTGGGGCCTGGTCTGGTCCCAGGGCTCCGGGCCTCCCGGCTCAGGCTCACCAGCGCTGTGGAAGGAGGCAGGAAAAGGTCTTCAGGGGTGGGGTGACCAGTGGGTGGCCTTGATGGCCTACAGGATTGGACGGGGACGATGTGGGAGGGCAGGGGGCTGGGGGGAGGCTTTACCTATAGCGAAGCCAAAAAGGAAGACTAAGTAGACGAGAAGAAAGCGGAGCAGGTCCCGTAGGATGACCTGGAACACACAGGCCCAGGAGCCAGGGTGGGTGATGAGGTTACCAGGCAACCTCCAGAGCAAAGTCACTGCACACACACACACACACACACACACCCCTCCAGAGCACGGTTCCTGCACATAGCACACACACACGTGTATACACACACACGTGTATACACACACTGCATACACAGACCCTATGGAGTCACACTAAGAGAAATCAGATCACGCTGGCTGGTGGTGTGGCACAATAGGTTAAGCTACTGTTCATGACACTGGCATTCCTTAAGAGCAATGGTCGACATACATTTGGAGGGAGCTAGATTGGAACTGGAGTTGCTGGGATTCAAACTGATGCCCATATGGGATGCTGATGCTGTAGGCGGAGGCTTAGGCTGATATGCTACGGTGCTAGCCTCAATGAAGTAAACCTTTTAGAAAAACAGGAAACATACTTTTCTGCTTAAAACCCATCAGGACAAAAAAAAATCATATAGAATGACCATATGACCCAGCAATTCTGCTGGGGACTTGGGGCCAGCATTGGGGCACAGCAGGTCCCTGGCACACATGTGGGCACCAATTCTTCTGCCTTTCTTAAAAAAAAAAAAGATTTATTTATTTTTATTGCAAAGTCAGATATATAGAGAGGAGGAGAGAGACAGAGAAGATCTTCCATCTGATGATTCACTCCCCAAGTAAGCGCAACGGCCAATGCTGTGCCGATCCAAAGCCAGAAGCCAGGAGCCAGGAACCTCCTCCAGGTCTCCCACAAGGGTGCAGGGTCCCAA